GTTTTCGTATGTTAAACGGCGAATGAAACGTAGTGATGGTATTCCCCCGTTGCTGTTACACGAAAATTCAGAATTACTAGCTGAATCAGATCGAGCAAAAGCTGAGACTTTTTCAGATTATTTTAGCGAAGTCTTCTCTACGTTTATTGTAACAAATAATTGTCCCACTCACACCGAGATACCAACTATTGAATATGTACAGGTGACTGAGGAAACTGTTCTTCCGTTGATAGCTAACCTCAAACCTGGTAAGATACCGGGCCCTGACGGGTTACATCCACGGTTGCTGTCATCTCTTTCGGACATTATTTCAAAACCGCTTGCGACACTCTTCAACATGTCCCTCTCACTCGCCCAACTCCCTAGAGATTGGAAGGACGCTATAGTTAGTCCTATATTTAAGGACGGTCAGCGACAGATAGTATCTAACTACCGGCCTGTCAGTCTAACTAGCATAGTCGTTAAGTTACTTGAGAAGATAATTCGGGTGAGGTTGCTAAGCCCCATAGATTTACACAATCTGTTAGCTTCTGAGCAACATGAATTTCGCAACAAGCGTTCATGCTTGACTAACTTGCTTATTACGAGGGAGGATTGGACAGCAGCTTTAGACAACGGCCTGTCTGTCGATATGATATTCATAGATTTTAGGAAAGCATTTGACAAGGTTTCAAATTAGGTCTTATGCAGAAGCTCAAGAGATTAGAAATAATAGGTACTGTACAGGAGTGGATAGGAAACTTCTTATGTGACTGCAGACAGAGGTGACGGTCAATCGAACGCTATCCAGTTGGAAGCCGGTCAAAAGTGGTGTACCCCAAGGCACCATCTTAGGCCCTCTGCTCTTCCTTCTCTACGTTAATGAGTTACCGCTGTTGCTCAGATCGTCTACATTATTGTTTGCGGATGATGTAAAAATCTGGAGAACAATAAAAAGTGAGGCTGATCATCTGGATCTCTACGCTGACTTAGACGATTTAGTTAGATAGACTCGAGGTTGGGGCTTAGAAATCAATTTTAGGAAGAGTGTGCTAATGCACATCGGTCACAATAATAATAGTTACCGTTACACTATTGAGGGTAAACCTCTTCCTTGAGTTCAAGAGCATAAAGACTTAGGAGTAATAATAAGTCATGACTTAAAAACAACTACGCATTGCAACGCAGCCACTGTCAAAGGTTTTCGTGCGTTATGGTCACTTCGTCGAGCGTTCAAATCTTTTAACGAGGAAACATTTCAAACTTTATATCCCACATATGTTAGACCACATTTAGAGTACTGTATCCAAGCAGCTGGCCCATGTCTGGTAAAGGATACTAACTCTCTTGAGCGTGTCCAGTGTGTGGGAACGAAATTAGTGAAGGGTTTTTCTTAACTCTCTAACGATAAGCGTTTAAAACGCCTAAATCTTTTCCCCTTGTCGTATCGTGGGACGCGGAGTGACCTTATACTGGCATTTCGTATCTTTAATTATGATTTGGGTGTTAATGTCTTATCTTTTTGCTCTCTCCAGCACTAATAATCTCCGAGGTCATAGCAAGAAGGTTCATAAACCACGATTTAATAAACTTAAAGTGGGGTCTCGTTTTTCTCATCGAGTAGTCAATGATTGGAACGCCTTACCCGAACAAGTGGTATCTGCTAACTATGGCACAACATTGTTTAGAAAGGGTCTATCCTGTACAACGAACCTCCTTATAGCTAGGGAGTTCTGGATTAATGCGCTAGACAACGGAAACTCAGTGGATGTGTCTACATAGATTTCAGTAAGGCTTTTGACAAGGTGCCAACTAATAGACTGCTATTGAAGTTGTAAAACCTTGGTATTGCCGGACCTCTTTTAAAATGGATCAAGGATTTCCTAGTAGGTCGTAGACAAAAGTAGAATAAATTCCAAGTGCTCCACCAGAAGACCAGTACTTAGTGGAGTACCCCAAGGTTCCGTCCTAGGTCCTTTACTTTTATAATGTACGTTAATGATCTTACAAGTATAGTACAGTCTTCAATGTTATTATACGCCGACGATGTAAAAATTTGGCGAGTAATAACTGGAGACAAAGACGCATTTACTCTTCAGGCAGACTTAAATAATATGATAAACTGGTGTAAAGAGTGGTTGATGCCTATCAACGCGGAAAAGTGTCTACATGCACTTAGGAGATTCAAAGGTTAATACGTACAACATAGGGGATGTGTCATTACCCGTAGTCCTGTCTCATAAGGATCTAGGGGTGACAGTGAGTAATGATCTTAAGACGACAGCCCATTGCCGGGAGGTCGCAGTTAAGGGGTTTCGAACCCTCTGGGCTTTAAAAAGGACATTCACTAAGTTGGATACTACCATGTTCATCACAGTATACACATCCTTAGTGAGAACTAAGCTAGAGAACTGCGTTCAGGCTGCAAGCCCCTGTTTAAAATGTGACTCGGACATACTAGAAAAAGTACAGAGGGCAGCTACCCGTGCAATTGCGGAACTCCGGGGCTTATCATACAAAGAACGGCTTGAAAAACTGGACCTTTTTACTCTGTCCCATCGCAGACTAAGGGGTGATCTACTTTTGATGTACAGAATACTGAGAAATGATTTCGGACCTAACTTATTCTCTCTCTTTCTTCCCACTAGATCGGGACATCTCAGAGGACATAGCAGGCGAGTAGGAAGGCCAAGAACGAACAAAATACCCGTGGCATACAGATTTTCACACCAAGTCATCAATAACTGGAACCTGCTACCTGAAGCAGTGGTATCCGCACCTTCAACTGACTCTTTCAAGAGAAGACTGCGGTTGACAAATGGACAAGCATCCTCGATCGCAAGGGAAAGGTTGATATCATTTACCTTGATTTCTCAAAAGCTTTTGATAAGGTTAACCACATGTGTCTTACCAATAAGCTCAAACGACTAGGTATCAAACCACCTCTAATCGATTGGCTTACTTCATACCTAATAAATCGACACTTTAAGGCCAGGGTTAATTTCACTTTATCTGAGGCTATGGAATGTCCTAGTGGGGTCCCCCAGAGCTCAGTACTGGGGCCTCTTCTCTTCTTGATCTACATAAATGATCTTCCTCAACAGGTAACGTCAGACTTATTACTTTTTGCCGACGACGTGAAACTTTGGAGAGAGATACGCAACCAAGACGATATACAGGCACTTCAGGAGGATCTGACTCGACTTCAAAGTTGGGCAGACGATAACGGACTTACCTTTAACACTTCAAAGTGTAAAGTAGTCCATCTGCGGCATGTCGCAAACTGCAGTTACAACTTAGGAAACTCCTCTCTAGTAGTATCTCAAGTCGAAAAAGATTTAGGAGTCCTGGTGCCCCATGATTTAAAGTCTTACGCTAACTGTGACAAAAATGCCTTCCGAGCAAACCTTGCACTGGTAACGTTGAAGCGCATTTTTGGACAGTTTGACGGACGAACTTTCCATACAATCTTCAATAGTTTTATCCGTCCCCATTTAGAGTACGGAAACATAGTACTCCTCCCTCACTCCAAAAGGACAAGGTCACTTTGGAGCGTATCCAACGGCGAGCCACGAAATCAGTTCGAGGACTCAAATCTAAGCCTTACGAAGAACGCCTCCGTTCACTAGACCTTTACCCATTAGAATATAGGCGTCTTAGAGGTGATTTATTAATGGCTTATAGTATTCTTAACACTTCTGGACATCCTCTTAAACACCTACTTAAGCTTAGTTCGAATAACAACCTAAGGGGTAACACCCAGAAACTGGAAACACAACATAGCAAGACGGAATGTAGACACAATTTCTACTCCTTAAGAGTTGTCAAAAGCTGGAATTCGCTGCCAGCCGAGCTAGTCCAAGCGACTTCTCAGGAGTCCTTCAAGAGGCAACTTGACCTATTCTTAAGGACCAAGGACAGCATCACATTATGATTTACCAATTTCTTTTCCTCTTTTATTGTTAACATACCTAGGTTCCTGCCTGGAGGATTTGGTGATCCCCTGCTACTAGACACGGAAGCCTGTTAAGCGAAAGCTTCTTCTATTCCGTCCACAACCATTTGAACCATTTGAACCATTTGGACTGGACACTCACAGAAGCATACTAGAAAAGGAATGACATAGGCCGTAGGCCTTCTGTCCTTACTACACAAATCTGAATCTGAATCTGAAAAAATCAGCCCCATCAGTGAATAATTTCAAGGGGAAGCTGGACTTTCACTGGAAAGCAGTGTGTCAGGATTAATACAGGTTCACCAACCTACTATCCATATTACTGAAGACTGAAGACTGATTTGCCACTCCGATTTACTGTTATTAAAAAGTACAGACCCTCTTGAACCATAATATATTGAGCGCCAAAGTAATTGAACTCGGTTGAGTCCCTAATAAGGTTCTTTATTCAGTCCTTGAAGTTTTTCACCACAGAAATTTTATTGGACATTGTACCGGTGAACTTATTCCGCCAGTCCTTGTTGCAAGCCCGCCGGCATTTTGATTCAAAATGTCCTCGAAGCTCAGAATTGTAAGTTTGATAAATAACTGGTTTTCACCTATCAGATTCCGGGGATGAAGGAGAGGAGTACAATAGCCCCTACAGGAAAAATGTAAGTGTGTTTTTCCACAACTTTATGAATATAGCCGCCTCGGGTTCGGAAGAAAAACCGGTACTATAGTGATGATTATTATGAGCCCCCAACAAATTACAAACCCCGATTACTGCATTCCCCAAGACCCCAAGTACAAGCAGAAGAAATGTCACCAAAAGTGAGGAAGCCTGCTAAACTGGTATGTTATATCACCAATGTAACTTCGTAGCATAAATCAATGATTGGGCATATGCCCTGGCGTACGCAAATGCATCATCCTGAAAGGCGAATGGCACAAACAAATGCCGTCCGTCTGCGGAATGTTTTAAAGCTACCAAAGGCACATAAATGGGTGTTTTACGAGTGGTTCTACTCCAATTTGGACAGGTAATGTAGTCTTCGATTTTACTTCCCCAGACCTTTATTACTAGGCGAAAATGATTTCCGCATTTGTCTTCGTGAGAGCTTTCCAAACGTCAAAACTCGCCGTTTATCACGTGCTCATTGGTCATTATTACGTCGTTTGATGGGAAAGCCACGTCGTTGTTCTACAGCTTTCTTTGACGAAGAACGTCGTTCCCTTAATGAAAAGCGTGAAAAAATCCGCACCTTGCAAGCTACTCGGTCAGTGCAACTAGAGTTCTTAAGAGATCTGCCGGACGATATGCACGTTCCAATGCCATTAATAATAGGGACGAAGATAACCGCTAGGTAAGAATTTTAACTTGTTTTCGTCACCTGGATCATGTTAATACAAGTATAGAGCTGAGTTAATTTCTTTGTTGTTCCATTTGTTTGCTGCACAAAAGTCAGCAGTTATTTACTCAGAAGTATACTTAGCAGTCACGTGCATCCTCCATCAGAACATGATCCACACTTATAATGTAGGACCTAATTAGTTTGGTTATAGACACTGTCGTCAAGTATATTATTTTTTTGGACACATAACCATTGGTACGACACAATAACAATGAGGCCAGCAGCAGTTATAATCGATTCGTGTGAAGACTGTAACACTGTCCGGGTGCCAAAATCAAAGCAGGTGGTTTTCTTAGAGAGCCACACCTGGATCCCTCGACCTAAAAGTCTAATCCACAAGGCAGTGGATCAAACTTAGGGGATTCAGTCCCATGGTGGCCGGTGACCAACAATAGATCCGTAAGTCACTTTTTCCTTCGAGATCATGGAGCTAATGTATACCTTTGGTTGGAATCATGGCTTTCCAACTCCCCTAGATGGATCCTCTATATCTACCAACCCGGTTGAAGCTCTGGACATTCGCTTTTCGTCCCTTTAATTTCGTAAAGAACACGACAGCTGCGAGGAGGCAGTGAGTAGGACCTTCCTGGTAGTGGCTGTATACGCGTGACCATGTGGGTATATCGAAATGGAGAAATGACTCCTCACCCTCGGCCGTATCCATTGTCAGTGGAATGAACGGTGTGCACCACAAGGAAGTATGAAAATAAACTATTTCTCAAGTATGACACGAGACGGATCTGAAACTTTAACTGCATCTCTGTGCTAATGTTGTTTGGCAACTTGAACTGATGTACGTACGTACGAAGTTCCACTTTGTTACTGACTAACGGACTGAAACTTTAACCCACGTCAAGCAAAATTTCTGGCTCCAGAGTTACTGTTTGTCACCATATTTCTCCATGGACTAAATGTTTTTGAAGGTAGCTCAACCATCTACACGCCAAAAAGTAACTTCTGTTCACCTAGTCACTCGCTTCTAGCCAGAGTTTCGTTAATTCTCAGTTGGTCAATCGGAAAATAGTTTAGATAATCAGGTGGTTTTCTCGATCCCGATAGATTTGACTGCCTCCTCCAGTAATTTGATTGTAGTAGTACATCTCCAGATTTCTTTTAACTACTTTACTGCCTCTTTTCAGCACTAGTAGTTAAGTTGATTTAGTGTTCATGTAAGTATAACTTAATAAATTGAATTGCTTTTGGTGATCTATTGCCGTTTGTATAAAAGTGTTGGAAGACTAGCATCAAATGGAATTCGCCTATTAATTATCAATACCTAGTCGTTATTGGAGCACTTTGTAAATATCATCAGTGAATAATCACATTAGTTCACTTATTTAAATTTCTAACAGATTGATAGGTTTGACCTTTTTTATGTTAACTCCTTTATCAGATACAGGTTCATAAACTTGGTTTTAAGCCACGGTCCAATTGTGTTTGATTAGTCTTAACTACAGATTATAGAACTAGTTTCCCCCTTTGATAAAATGATTTATCAAATATCTACGTAATTTAATAATCAGGACCATACGCACTTACTGAAGTTCCAGTAATATTATAGAAATATTGATTAAGTAATGATTTTTAGAATTTCATGCTTTAATTACACAAAAACGTACAGTTGCACCGTCTAACGTCTACATATTTTCAGGGTTCGCTACCCAACGGATGGTTTGTACACTGGGAAAGTTGATGCTATCGATGCACTAAGACATTGCTATCGTGTCACTTTCGATAAGCCTGCTCTTGGCACTCGGTCAATACCTGACTATGAAGTCCTGAGTATTTTACCTCAAGAAACTATACCTTTGTCTGCATACAAAACCCAGCACAAAGCCAGTCGTAATCTTTTCATGAGTCCCGCTCGACTTCTGGCACAATCTGCTTTACAGGTAATTGATTGATTCGTATTCGTAAAAATAATGTGTAGAATGTCATATATGTACAAAGATTAATTTTGAAAAATCAACAAGGTAGAATCTTTTCTCTTCAGGCGATAATTCGTTTTACCAAGTTTTACCTGGTCATCAGACTTAATTGTGGTCCAGTGTATTTTACTATTTTACTTGTTTAGTTTGCAGTTTCTTTCATCACATCACATTACTTTAGTTTGAGTGACATTATTGGCTGCTCAACATACTTTTTTCACACAGTGCTGTCCAAAATTACACTGATTTGTCGGTACTTAAAAAGTTATCTAGTTTTGTTTAGCCCGACAAAGGTCGGACAAATCGTTAGATGGAGTCAGTATAAATGTATCTGTGTATTTGTGAAAAGTTACCAACTATTGTCACTTCTTCCACATACGCCTTTTTAACATAGCCAAACGTTTTCGCCTTTAATCTAAGTTGTGTACTTACCCAAAAATCCACCGACAAGTATAAATATGTTTTTTCACACATTTCAGTACGTGCACTGACTTCTCGAGGTTTAAACATAAATGGATCCCTGTGCTTGAAAAGGCATTCGCAAGTGCTTTGATCTATCTGCATCATGTTTGTACTATTTAGCTGAGTATTACAAAATATTGTCGGGTGTAGAGCTAGCTCACATACAAAATGTTTTTTTTTTGATACTATAGACCGTGCTGAGGTCTGTCGGTAAGCACGGGATAGTTTAATTAATCTATTTATTTGCATACATAAGCGTTGCTACAAAGGGGCACCGAATACATATGCGCCACACAAGTCACTCGATTTGTATGTGGGCTATGATATTGCCCGGGTGCCCGGACCGAAGCAGGTGTTTCCTTAAGGGGCCACACCTGATCCAAAAGGCAGCGGAGCAATATCAGGAGATGCAGTCTCATGGTAACCGGTGACCAACAGTAGGTTCATACGCCATCTGTTCCCTCAGATCCTGAAGCCCATGTGCACCATTCGTTTGGAACCAAGGTCTTCCAACTCCCCTAGGTGGATTTTTCGTGTCCACCAATCCGGTTGAAGTGCCAGGCATTCGCTTTTCGTCCTCTCAATTTCGTAAACAACAGTAGTGCTGCGAGAAAGCAGTGAATAGGACTTCCCTGACAGTGGTTGTATACGGGATATAAACCAAAAATTAAATTTTTGGTTAATAACTTTTAAACATTTATTTTACTATGTATTTTTATGACTTTCTGATCAAAGCTATCGAAATTTGATCTGAAGTAAGAGTTCATATCAGTAGATAACTGTTACTCCTTTAAGTCCGAGTAGTCTGGTGTCTAACGACATTTCAACACAACTCAATTTGTCCTTTTTTTGTAGGGCAAACGTCATCATATGCATCATCATAAATTCGGACATGGAATAGGACAAGGTGGTGGTGGGTCCGGTGATTTAGCTGTTCATGACTGCCCTTTATGTCAGTCGGAAGCTGCAGCTGCAGCTAGTGGTGGAACTATTGGTGGTAGTCCGTCGACGAGAACTCCAAACTTCATGACCACCACCTCTACCACTAATAATAATAATCTCTTGTCAACCCCGTTAAAACTCCCTGCAATTAGCAGCGGTGACGTTGCTGCATCAATGGGCAGTGCTGCACTATCTTTGAATGAATCTTCAGGTGGTCGCTTACTTCTCAATGAGGCCGATATATATGGAGGGTATCCAATGAAATTTTTAGTCATGGTGGTAAGTAGATTTTTTCCTAGACAGTGATTCTTCATAAGATAAAAAGTGGTACGTAACTTTGACTTAAACAAATTTTTGGATTGTTCGAATGAGTAAAATGCTGGTTTATGGCTGCTGCTCACGAGGTCAAATTACTTACTGAAGCACCTAAAAATTAACCAGAAAATAGGGTTTTTTCCCAAATGATGTGAAACGCTTATGTACATGAATAAATTTCATAAGTGATTACAGGAAATCTCCAATGAATTAATTTTTAACAGTTAGGATCAATTTTCACTCATCCTATCAGTAACCATGAGTTATTTTTCCCCTAGGGTTACATTCATATTGAAATCGTCGGCAAACTTTAGCTCTCTGATGCTTCAGTCAGTCAGCAACAACGTAGAACTTCGTATGTACGTACATCAGTTCAAGTTAGCACATTAGCACAGAGATACAATTGTCAATTTAAATCCGGCAGTGATAGAGGTAGTAAAAGTATAAGCAGTAATCGGAAAGATTAGGGTTTGAAGATGTTATTCAAGGAGTATAATCCAGTGAAATAATATGGAAAAAGGAAAAAAAAGGGACATGAAGAATTGAGATTATTATTTGGGAGAACACAAAGAGTGGATGCATCTGCGCCATTGCAAACGATTTTGAGCCATTTCATTCAAGGTCTCTAACCATCGGTTGCTATCGTCTCACGGATCTCAATCAGGTAGTGTACATCTACGAACATGGCTCAGTCCACTTGTCAATGACTTCATGGATTTGTGCCATGTTTTGTTCTGGCCGCCTCTAGCTTTCTTTCAATCTACCCCTACACCATGAAACATCGCACGTCGGAGCAGTCGGTAGGACATTTCTTGTCGTTTTGGGCTTTTCTACAGTCTTTGGCTAAAAGTCACTAATGACATGGTGTCGTGGTATGAAAGAAAGCTGCAAAGGACTGGCTTCTGTTGGTCCTTCACGACTCCTTGGTTGGGGTCTGAGAGATGGTACTACACAGTGGCTAGAGACGTTATCAGATATGGCTCAGAATAGAAGCCAGTGGCGATCCTGCTGTAACCTTTTACTTTCTTCATAGAAAGTGGTTGTGTCTCCCTTACCTGAAAGATTTCTTCTGATTGTACCTTTCCGTTCCCTCGTTACTACCACACTACCTTACACCAATCTCTTCGTTATTGTTCTCTTTTTCCTTTGCGCTCCTTAGTTTTTTTTTCCTATTTCTCTTTGAATTCTCATTGTTTTGTGTGGCGCATATATATTGGCGCTCTCTTGTACCAATATTCATGTGTTCAAATAAATAATAATAAATTTATGTCAGTTCATGGCTTTCTAAAACCTACGACACCTCTAATTGAGTTAAGTAGATGATTAATCATTAGTATATGCGTCAATCGCCTTAGGTAATACAGTCATATATCGATACCTAACTTTAATATTCCTTGTTAGTTGGTTCTTATTAACGTGAATAATAATACTGTTCATTTTCGTGTTTATCATTTTTATTTTGGTCGATCTGTTAAAGCCATTAATATAAACCTGTAAATGAATTACATTCAGTTTAAATTACACTTTTATGTATTTTCCTAATGAAAATTTTTTTTCTCTTGTAGACAAAATTATCTAAAATTCTAGAAGTTAAGAAACGATGTGTTGATGAATTACAAGATTTAAATGATGAAGCAGAACGAAAAGTTTGTAGTGAATTTCTTTCTTTCAATAGTTCATATGTATATATATTATAGATATCTAATAAAGCTGAATTATCTTTAGAATTTCAACATACCTATCTCACTTTGGTTATGCATTTAGAACGTTTAAATAAAGAATTAAATCAATATTTAGTACATGTATTACAATATGCAAATGAAGTAAGTTATTGTTTCATACACTTTATAAGGTGTACCATTTTTTATTATAAATTAATACTTAGAGTGTGTAAGCAACTCTAAGTCAGTCAGTCAGTCACAATGCAGGACCAGGTACATGTATTCATCCACCCAAGTTGCCATACCTCATTAGCACAATAAGATGAACACCGGACTCATAGGAGTAGTTAAGTCAATAGTGATAATATATAAAAGAAAGATTGGATATAAGGATATAGTACAGGAAGGAAGAATTAGTTTGTAAAAGAAAGATATGAAGCGAGTTTAATTTCACGGTTTAGGGGAAGACAAAGTGTGTATACACTTAAAACATTGTGATCGATTTTGAGCCATGTCACACACAGTCTCCAACCATTAGTTACGATAGTCACGCGGACCCCAACCAAGTAGTTTGTATTTACCAATATGGCTCAGACTAGAAGTTAGTGATTTCGAGCACTGAAGCCACGTTTTGGCTTGGCCACCCAACTCTTATAGACTGGTAATTAACAAATACTCGGGACAGATGCAAACCTAATCTTGCTTTCACCAAGTTCTACCACGCAATATCATGTTTTAATTCAGTAACAGATTTGTGTGGTGTTCATCTAGTATGACATCCATCACTCGTCTTTATTCATGTATTGTGATATCTACTCAATATAACATTTGATTGCATAATCCATGTGAAATCCAGTTGTACCCCATTATTTGTTATATATGGTATTCAGTGACTAATCAAGTACCAATATAATGTGTATATAGATGATTGTATTTCGTTAATATGTTGCTGTTGTTGTAAAGTGTAAGTAAGACTATTTCGAAAAAAGACGACACTCATCTGCTTCTAGTCCAGATGTTTAGAACAATGTGCGAAACATTTTAGAGAACAGTTCAGCTGGCCTTCAGCTACTCTACAACTACCCCCCCCATTCCCAGACAGTGTGAATGAAACATTGAAGTAGGTCCCCCAACTCTAGCTCAAGTTCAGAAGGCTGTAGTTAATCTGAAACGAGGAAGGGCAGGTGGTCGTAACCAGTGGTTAGAGACTGGGTGACTTTCCTCGGAATCGATCACAATTGCTCAGGTGTATACACTCTTTGTTTTCCCTTAAACTATGAGATTAAAATCACTTTATACCTTTCTTTCTAATTCTTTCTTCCTGTACTATATCCTTATATCCAATCTTTTATATATTATCACTATTGACTTAACTACTCCTACGAGTCCGGTGTTCATCTTATTGTGCTAATGAAGTATGGAAACTTGGACCGATGTATATATGTGCCTGGTCCTACGTTGCAGCTGACTGACTGTTGTTTTTCCGAGGGTGAATACCAGTAACTAGGTAGTGGAACAGGCTACACAGCTTTCCATTCTGTAGTGATCTACGACTAAATTATGACCTATAAGTTGTTTTCAAAGGACTGCTTGTACATAATGGAGTCACTAAATAACTACTGATGAGGTTAATTCCAGTTTCTCAGGTAAAAATAGCAAGATGATTGTTAAGGCTGTTAATCTTAATTGATCTAGGTGATTGAAACATGTTTTATATATGCTTTATAATTCCTCGCCACGTTATGCGAGGATAGGTGGTATAGGATGAAATATATTAGAGAAAAAAGCTAAATGACGTCCGGACCAAAACATAATATTAATTCATGAAGTCATTGACTTTTGATCTGAGATATGTCAGCAGGTGCAGATTTGTTGTTGTTGTCAGCCCCGCTCACCATAATCTATAGCCTCAGATGTTGTATGGCATGGCGCAAAATCTTCATTCTCACCCATTTCTCCTGAACAATACTTTCCATGTTTAGTTTACCATTGTATCTTCCCCTTGCTACTTGTTTTCTTGATTTTTATTGTGGTGTTGTAATGTGGGTTTAAGCAACTTTAACGGATCCGCATTCTTACTGTCTTTGACTCTGGCTGACTACATGAATGTACTTGTAATATCTTTTGGAATAACAACATATCTGAATGGCTAACTTATTGAATATTGTTTCTAAAAAAAAACGTGAAATAGATTATACGTTGTTTCAGGATCATTGAGATTGCTGACTAATGAGTTTTGTTAAGTCGAATATTGAAGTTGACACTGGCCTGTACAACGAAGTGAATGCAAATGAATTCACCAACATATTTTTTTTTAGTTTATTTCGATTTGTAATTGCATTCACCTTTGATCGACCATCACTATGTTTTCAGTTACAAAATAGTGTATCACTGTAACAAATAGTAAACTAACGAGGTGTAAATACAGTATCACCTACTTCATTCGATTTAAATAGTCAAGTAGTTTCGATAATTCTCAGCAGATAAACGAACTTTAATTACCAAGGTACTACGTGAAACCAAGTCACAATTTAACCTTTCAATGTATACTAGATTAATGACATATTGCATATATTGTTGTTACTACTCTAATAAGATCATCGTAGTGGTTCTCACTATGATCAATCGGGGCAACACATAGTGTATTCCCAAAAATTTATTCATGTTTCTGTTTACAGATTGCTCAAGAACATGGCGTAGCGCCGTTAGAACAAGCAGCTGATTTTAAACAGCGTTGTGATGAAGATGCCTATGAAATCGTCACACGAATAAAGAGTATGCAGGTTAGTTATTTAAGTTAATGCTTCTTTTTTCCCAAATTATCTCAATAGATTTTTAGAAAAATTTTATTATATCAAAACGTTCTCTTATGTTATCAGAATTTTATAATCCATAGATGAAAGACGGTTGCTAAATAACAAAGTTTCATATTGTTAAGTATTTACTTGGTTACACCATTCGGAAACTATGCTCAATAATGACACAAAACACCATAGAAGTAGGTACTTTCCTCCCCTCATCCGCGGTAGTCGTCTAAACTAACTCGCAACAGTTAGGAATCCAGAAGATGTTTATTCCTTTTATAGATTAAGGATAAAAAGTACGTCGGTATTTATAGAGAGAATTCGGAGTATCTGTAATAATCAAGCTTCAGATACTCTTTAGTTGAGATTATTGGAAACTTGATAGTTTAAACTGGTGATGTTAAATAGTTTTTAGTAGAACATTTTAACAGTATTATGCTTTATATTAATTTTCGATTCATTCAGCAATTAATTATGAATCCATACAATGAACTTTCAGCCTCAGAGTTTTTATATGAAGGCTAATAACACTGTCTCTTTACGATCGAATTTTTATTGTGTGGTGTACGTATATTTTGATGCCCCTTTGTACTAAGGTTTATGTGTTTAGATGAATGAGCAAATAAAAATACTACCCAATTGTTTAAGCTAAGGTTGGTAGAGCACGTTTGGAGTGTGCAACCTATAGATTGTATTATTATTACTACTAATATTTGACGAGGTCTGAGATATCTTGGCTAAATCATGATTTTTCTTGTTTACGCATCCTTATGTTCATAAGCTTTCATTAAATCAATGGATTATGAGCATTCCTGAGATCCAGACACGCGTACCTGACGAGTTTAGAAATTAGGACGAAACTTCACATTCTGGATCTCGCTGCTAGCCACAATCCGTCTGTACAACCCAGTGGTTAGAAGTTTAGTTGTTCGACCACTTTGATACAACTCTGTGAACTGTAATTAACTTGAATCAATCAGCTTTCAGGCGATTTATCGAGTTTCGTTTCGTTTACTGATATCTGTTTAGTCATCATGTTTTAATTACTATATTCTTGTAGGACCTGAAGTGTTGCCGATTGTTAAACTGTTGGAGCAACTTGTCAAAAAATGTTATATTAGTAGCCGTCTTTGTAAAGCCTGAATCTGAAAAACGTAGATGCCAATTTGTAATAAAATTTGGGTGTTAAAAGCTTCCTGATCATAAATAAAATTGTCCACTACTTTATGATTTCTAAGTTATTGATCAAATTAGAGTCTGTCCTGTAAGGGTGTAAGAGAGAGAAAGGCATAGTAGAAAAGCTAGGGTAATTAATAAAAATCTTACTAGAGATTTTTAATGTGTTGAAAGTTCTCTTTAATCATAGCCTTTTTTTGATGGCAGACTTTTAAATGGTACTTCTAAAGTCAGATCAACCGCATTCATTAGGGTAGAGATTAGTTTTTTCAACATTTTCGTTGATTTACGGAATAGTTCTTATGTTCATTTATAAGTTTTGTTTAAATCTTTCCGTTCATGTTAAGAACAGTAACTGATTTATCTGTTTTTGACAGATGTGCATTCTGTGCGAATTGCATCGATACCACCATTAAGTAATGAGAAATCTACACAGAATGCACATATGCCAAAAAACGATAAATCAGTTGCAGTCCTTAACATGAACTACGAGATCCAAACAACCCTTGCAAATGAATAAAAAGTCATCCCTGTTGCACAAGCTCAGTGAATAATGCGTTGGGCGCTAGAAGTGAAAGGTACTGGGTTGGATGTAAACATTGACACTAGATGGTTGTAGGTTCATCCAGCTGATGAGTTTCAAATAGGAGAAAGTGCGTATGCTGTATTTCACTCCTGTGCATTATTCAATGCTATTCATCTGTTTGTTTCATGTAGTGAAATCAATGTTATTTAAACTTACTTTCTTTTGTTTACAGGCTCAAAAATTCCGAAATTTGAAAACAGTTGATCTGATTACAAAACTTGTCAGTTTACTTGTACAAATTCGTTCATTAAGTGAACATGAAGAATCTACATATGATTGTTCTAGTATACAAGAATCTTTACATGAATTAAAATCAAGTATTCATTCTAGTAATGTTCAGTAAGTTTTAAATATTCGCAAAACAAACAATGAATATTTATATTGATTGACGACTGAGTACTGTCATGTTTGTTTAGTCTTTAGTTCTGATCTAATTCTATAGAACAAGTCTAAATAACCTAATCTTACAAGAAACCGTCACAGCCCGAATAACTGTGATGTGTGAGACCATGAAAATTAGTGACCGGGGGTTTGTATCCATCAGGGAGCACCAGTTCCCTTAAAATTGCAGGTACGGCTTTCTGATATATCCCAACTATCACTAAATCCTAGTTAACCAATGTTTCCTCTCAACTGTGTTCAACTTCTTAGTATAATAAAATATATTTTGCGCAAATTATCCGTCTTATTCGGTTATCATGCATAAGTCCGTGAACGGTTTCTTTAGCCCCTCTTCAACGGATTACTTGATTGTACACTGTGGTAGACAATGGTTTCTCATCCTAGACATATGTTGAAACCACCTCAATCAACTGACTCACCTACATTTTACTTCAGTGTTACTCATTTGATGATTTCACCATATCCAGTTATATACTGTAGTGAATAAGAACACGAGTGGGGACAATAGAATGCATTTGACACGAAATTACAGAGCATCTCAATAAAATCGGAGAACCATATAGTAACTAGCTAATTTGCAAAATATCAACCCATTGTCTCAGATTTCATTGTTCATGCATTTTCATACCAATTGCGTTGCGTTCCGCTGAAATACATTCTATGCCTGACCACCGTTATATTATACTACTTATGTGGATATAAGTAACCCACACCATAATACTACAATTAACCTATTCTTTTAATCTACGATTAAAAGACAACAAAAATTGTTAGTTGAATAGAATTTCCTGTCCATTAAAGATAAGTATAATTAAAAATTACTTGAAACACTACTAAATGTTTTATAGATTCTTACGGGTTTTTCCCGGTTACTTAAATTAAAACGGAACACACTTGAACTTGATTCTCATTCATTGGTGGTTGTATTCTAATATCTAACCTAATAAAGTCGTCATAAACAACAGTTTATCTTTTGAATATAGTTAACTTTTGTTTTGTTTTCTTGTTTCCACCTACATTCTATTGTTGTTGTTGTTGTTGTTCTTGTTTTATAGTGTATTTGAAAATAGTGTGGAAATCTCTATCCATCACACATTAAGCGGTCTTTGTACATTAAGTAATTTAAATTCATTTTTATATACACATCCTAATCATTTTCATTATTTATAATAATAATAATGATAATCATAATCATAATCTTCCTTGTGAATAAATCAACAAATCAATGATATGAAAGTACCATTATGTTGATGATTTTCTCCCGGAAAAGAATAAAAAATATACAAAAAATAAACGATACACAAAAAGAGAATGAATGATGATTGTCTAGTATCTTTTTAAGATTTTCGTTATTCATTATTCTTTTTCTTTGGTGGAATAAAATGTTTATGTTTATATAAATATGAATTTATTCACTCGTATATTGTTTTTTCTGTTTTGTTTTGTATAAAAATATATATTGTATTTATCTTTTTCTTTGTCTCTCTCTCATATTGTTTTTTTTCTTTAAACATTGGTACAACAAGAAGGCACCAAATAGATATGCGCTACATAAATCATTCGATTCATGTGAGGGTTGGGATACTACCCGGGTACCTGAACCGAAACAGGTAGTTTTCTTAGGCGGTCACAGCCGGTGACTTCGATTTAAAGGTCTGATCCGTAAGGCATTGGAGCTATGTTAGAAAGATGCAGTCCCATGGTAACCGGTGATCAATACGCCATTTGTTCCTTCAGGATTTTAGAGCTAATGTGCACCATTAGTTTGCAATCAGGGTTTTCCAACTCTCCTAAGTGGACTCTCCGTGTCCACCAACCTGGTTAAAGTGTCGGATATTCGGTTTTCATCCTCTGAAGTTCGTAAAGAACAGTAATGCTGTGAGAAGGAAGTGAATAGGACTTCCTTGTTAGTGGTTGTATGCATGTGGCCATGAGCGAGCATTTGGAGAGAGAGAGAGAGAGAGCTGACTCTTTCCACTCTCGGCCGTACCAAGGCATTAGGGGGCCTCTCATATTATAATTATTAAACAACTTTAGTGTGTTCAATTTTTCTCTTGAACAATCGATCTTTATTAAGATCACGAACTGATACTGGGTTAGTAGTAGTGTAGCACGTAATATTAGCGTTTACTTGGTGGAAGTAGGAGAGATCTGAAAGAACAATATAACAGTTAGGACCGGTAAATACCTTTGAAGTAAGAACGCGGCGTACTGGCACAAATAGATATATATTTGAAAATTGAAAGATACAGTTCAAGTACAAAAAGAGAAAACTTAATATGAAATAGTTATATTCATCGTTCTGCAGGTCCAGCTTACATAGGGCTTGTTCTCCTCCCAGTACGTTTACTCTTTGTTGCCTTGCAATAACAAATACAGACTCGCGTTAGTAACGTCACTACTGTTACAGTAGTAATGGTCTAAAAGTTAACTGTTCTTATTCATATTCCTTATGTTTTTTGTCTGGTGATGGGTTGGTAGATGCTTGTTACAATTCCGAATGACTGAAGAGTCATAGTTCGTGGGTTTTTTTTAATGGTAAATTTTCATTACAGCTTAAATTAATGATTATGAAGGAATGATAAGTAAATAAAGTTTGTATGTGTTGAAATAGTTGCATCAAACTACTAAATTAATCATTAAAGGGATTATCATTTAATTACACTGAGAATTGGTTCAAGTTGGGAATATGGATTATTGAGTTTCTAATCATCATCGGTAAAAGGTGTTACATTTTTGGATCTTGGTGGTGTAATACATTGTTGAGAAATTTTTTACCATGATGTCATTGAATAATGATGTACTTTAACCGAAGCCAATTAACCTCAGTCTGTGATGGAGATAAATCGTAACTAGTATCAGTGCAGGACACATTTCTTTTTTAACCGAGAAATCCGACAAATCCTATTACTATTTAGCCATGCAGAGATCGTGATTCAAAAATTCATGGATTTATACACCTGAGTTTCCAGGAATCATAAATCACAGTTTATGAACGACTCGGGGATATAACAGAACAAGACTCGGATAATTAAGGAATATTAAAATGCGTAATTTTCGTTCATAAGTCCAATAAAACACTAGAAAATTTGGAGTCTGGAAATCCAGTTATTTAACAATTACACAGTGGAAGAAAATGTGATAGTCCCAGTAAAATAATTCATAGTTACGATTTACCCGATATTTTTTTCTCTGCAACAGCTTGAAGCTAGTTCTAGACGGTGTAGAGCTCCGGATTCTTAGTTCAACCTTGACAATATTGGCCCTGGTTGGTTAAGCGCCGTACTGTTAGTACTTTAGACTTTTGAGATTATATGGATGGTGTTTAAGCCATGATAAAAAATGTTGCGGAAACCTGACAATTATTTATTTCACTGGTCACTGCTACAACCGAGTCTTGTGAGATAACTAACTTAAGTTAATGATGGATGTGTCGCTCAATTTCCTTTATTAGTTGAAGTTAGACAATAACACCACTGGATGCCGCCACAGTGGTCTGGAGGTTGTGTGAGACCGATAGGTCTTGTGTTCGAATCTCACGAGGTGGGGCCGTGGGTGTGCACTGCTGAGGAGTCCCACAATAGGACGAAACGGCCATCCAGGTTTTCCATTGTGGTCTAGTTTCAACGAACTCATGAACTCAACTATTAAATTTATTTGTAAGCCGATAATCGCTGGATCATTATTCAAAAGGACAACCACACAATAACCAGTTCTGAATTTCGATAATCGCATAGATGTCCAAGGTATGAGTTCTGGTAGGAATGAAGTTTTTTCTGGTCGGTTGTTTAATATATAAGAGCGGACTAACTGTAAATAGTCGCATATAATCTTCGTCTTGCCCTCAAACGACCTGGTACAGTCGAGAGCGAGGGGAGTCCGCTCCTCCTCGAAATGCGCACATGCATATACAGCCTCTCTTTGCCTTTTCGCGGCGTGGGTATTGTTTACGAGATTGAGAGGACGAAAAGCGAATGATTGCCGCTTGAATCGGTGAATATTGAGGATCCACCTAGGAGAGTTGAGAAACCCTGGTTCCAAACCAATGGTATACATGTACTCCAGGATCGTGTGGGAACAGATGGCGTATGAACCTATTGTTCACTGGCAATCATGGGACTGTATGTCCTTACGTTGCTCCAATACCTTTTGGATTAGACCCGTAGGTCAAAGACTATGGAAGTGCCCACCTAGGAAAACTACCTGCTTCGGTTTCAACAACCGAGCAGTATTCCCGCCCTCACGCAAACTGAACGGTGATGTGTAGCGCATATGTATTTGGTGCCCGCTTGTACCAATGTTTATGTGTTTAAATAAATGAATAATCTTTAATGTCAATCGACTTACATCGTCCAAGTTGCAGCATGTTCACTAGTTTCAATGGTTCGACATTATGAAGAATCAGTAGGAAGGCAACCCATGTTTCGTACTAGTTAGTACTGGTTCTCGAGTCGTTTCTACAACCTGAGAGGAGCAGATGTTCTCTGTGGAGTTCCGAACCGTGCCACAGTTATTACAATTGAATTCCTGAAGTTCCGTTTTACAAACTTTCCTCAACCCACTCAATTTCTCTATGCTCCTTTTTAGATGTTCGGACTCACAAGCGTTCAGCTCATTTGTAGGACTAGTCGGCTACTAATAAACAACTGCTATTATTTACATACTCGTTTATTTGAATTAATGCTAACAAGTTGCAAAGATGTTAAAATCTCACAGTTGTGAAACATCGTAGAGTCAATAACCACGTTTCTAACTGGGAGATGGTCAAACTGAATGTCAGAACATTGACAGGACAATTATGAAACTTAAATCGATTTCATCAACAAGAATGACACATGTATCTGAATCACTTTTGAGCAAATTACAAATTAGCAGGTATCTTAGATGGTCAACCATATGTGTATACGTAGCTTCCTACAATCACGTTTAAGACAAATTATCATTTAGTTATAAAACCAACATCTCTAAGGTAAAACTTACATTAAAGGTTGACTACATTTCCAACAGTTAGTTCCTTTGATGATGCAATGAGATGACAAAGGTTATAGGAATTATATGATATACTTGCGCAATACATTTCGAACAATCTGACCATATATACTTGTTAAGATATTATATATGCAAAATAAAAGATCAACTAGACAAACTAAAAGGTAAAAGGAGACATAAATAATAAAGTACACAAAAGTAATGTGAAAACTGCTCTAGTTAATAAGTCAGTATTACCAGGGTAGGTTAACAGCAGGAACAAATTGTTTTTGATCACACAATAGAGTTTCGGTTTCCCTATATCTAAGACTTCAATAAACTTTAGCATACGCCTTTGAAAACATTCGTACAAAACTAAAAAGGCTGACTTGAAGTCAACTTTATGACCTTACATACTTACGTCTGTTACCCCTCGTGGGGGATAGGCCACTCACTAGCATTCTCCATAGAACTCTGTCCTAGGCGATCCTGACCAAAACCGTATAACCAGTCTCAACCAAATGTTTCTTAATGGATGAACATATTTGTCTCCCCTGTGGTCTTATTTGACTACTGGGATTAATTTGTCTTTGTAGCCATTTAGATATTTTTTCAACCAGCCTCACCGGTAGCTCACGATTGCTCCTCTCTATGTACGTGTTTTCATACATGTAAATTGATAGACCTAATGAAATATGACACACGCTTTGTTTAGGTTTTTGGTGACACATAGACATCCACTTTTCGATAATCACGAGTTGAGTTGGCCAGAATGTAATATAGGGGTTGTGGAGATTATTAAGTTTTTGATTGAGATCATGAACCGATTGATGTTAGACCACCACAATTGAAAACCTGGAAGCACTGGACGGCCGTTTCGTCCTATTGTGGGACTCCTCAGCAGTGCGCATCCACGATCCCGCGAGCGGGATTCGAACCCAGGGCCTTCGGTCTCGCGCGCGAACGCTTAACCAACTGGACCACTGAGCCGGCATCCGATGGTGACCAGTGGAGCTAATCCTTGTCGGGTAGAGACAGGTATCTACCTCAGTACAACGGGAGTTGGTCGCGCAATTTCGTGGATTGGTTGATGTTAGAAACTATCACCATTGGATGCCGGCTCAGTGGTCCAGTTGGTTAAGCGTTCGCGCGCGAGACCGAAGGCCCTGGGTTCGAATCCCGCTCGCGGGATCGTGGATGCG